TTCACCATGTTGACCAGGATGGTCTTGATCTCTTGACCTCGTGATCCACCCGCCTCGGCCTCCCAAAGTGCTGGGATTACAGGCTTGAGCCACCGCGCCCGGCCTTCGTGAAGTATGTCTTTAGACCATTATAGTTTGGCAAAAAAAAGTCTGAAATAAACATGACGGAAGTATCACATGGGAATTATTCTGTAAAGCAATTTAGAAATCTGTACCAAGGCCTAAAAAATGTTCATATCCTTTAACCCAATAATCTGACATCCTCAGAAAAATTAGAAGAAATGATAAGAGATTTAAGGCATAGAGGCAATATAAGAATTGTTCATTGTAATATTGTAACAGCAGAATTCAAAAAGCTCATATATAAATTATGCCACATCCATTCATTTTATGAAATATCATGCAGCCTGCTACAAAGACTATTTACTGTCATAGGAAATGGGTACAATCCTTACAAGGCAAGTGTCTATGTGTCACAGAAAGAGAATGTGCCAAAACACTAACATTAGTTACTGAAGGAGGTGAGAGTATGCTTTCTTTTTCTTTCTTTTTTTTTGAGACAGAGTCTTGTTCTGCCACCCAGGATAGAGTGCAGTGGTGCAATCATGACTCACTGCAACCTCCACCTCTGGGTTCAAGCAATTCTCCTATCTCAGCCTCCAATGTAGCTGGAATTACAGGTGTGTGCCACCACGCCCAGCTGTTAATTTTTTTGTATTTTTAGTAGAGATAGGCTTTCGCCATGTTGGGCAAGCTGGTCTTGAACTCATGGCCTCAAGTAATTTGCCTGCCTTAGCCTCCCAAAGTGCTGGGATTAGAGGCATGAGCCATTACAACTAGCCATGTATGCTTTCTTTTAATTTTGATATTTCTTAAAATAAATTTTTGAGAATGTTAGTTTTTCTAATTAAGTAGATTTATTTTTTACATTAACTAGATAATTGATGATACAGAATTACAATTAATCATTATCATGATTACTATTTTATGACAACAGCATTTAGCTATGTTAAAAAAAAAAGCTCATATATTTTAGAGACACATTAAAATGGTTACAGACAAATGATATAATTGAGATTTGTTACACGATAATCCAAACTTGTAGGTGGGTCAATGGAAAGAAGGAAGATGGGAGTATTAAGAAACGAGACTGGGCCAGGTGCAGTGGCCCAACACTTTGGGAGGCCGAGGCAGTGGATCACTTGAGGTCAGGAGTTCGAGACCAGCCTAGGAAACATGGTGAAACCCTGGTGCTACTAAAAATATACGAATTAGGCCAAGCGTGGTGGCTCACTCCTGTAATCCCAGCACTTCAGGAAGCCAAGGCAGGTGGAACATGGTCAGGAGATCGAGACCATCCTGGCTAACATGGTGAAACCCTGTCTCTAATAAAAATACAAATAATTAGCCGGGCATGGTGGCATGCACCTGTAGTCCCAGCTACTTGGGAGGCTGAGGTTGTAGTGAGCCGAGATCACACTACTGCACTCCAGCCTGGGTGACAGAGCTAGACTCCAAGTCAAAACACAACAAAAAAAAGAATTAGCCAGGCATGGTGGTGTGTGCCTATAATCTCAGCTATTTGGGAGGCTAAAGTGGGAGAATCACTTGAACCCAAGAGGCAGAGGTTACAGTGAGCAGAGATTGCGCCACTGCACTCCAGCCTGGGCAAGAGAGCAAAACACTGTCTCAAAAAAAAAAAAAAACAGGGAGATTGACTATGTGCTAGTATTTGTTAAATCTGGGTGATAAACACAAGTTCATTTTACTAGTTTTTCTACTTTTGTATAAGTTTGGAGTTTATTAAAATAAAAAAGTTACTTTTGAAACTTAAAAGTAAAAAGCACTAATAAGCACTACTTTGAAATTTAACATATAATTAGCCACTAATCTATGCTGAATAAAGACTAGAAATATCTCACATTAGGAAGATGTCAGCTGATCAGAATTTTCCTTCATTTACTTCTGAGCTGTGACTTAAACAAAACAGAAGAAAAGGTAAATATTTTCTTCATTATACCATCAAATGTAAAATGCTCTAATATTTTTAGGTGCTGCTAAAATACAGTCAATAACAATGTAAGATGCTGCTTAATTTCAGAGACATTGAAATGTGAAAGTATGTGCATCTTAGAATGTATGAAATACAACAAATAGTAGCTCAGATTTAGCTATGAGCCTTTTGTTTTCTGACCTAGGATCAGAGGGACTGATTTTTAAAATATTTTATTTTAAAATAAAAAAAAATACCCTCTCATCTCTCTATGATACAATAATATACATTTAAACTCCTAATGCACTGATGACTTATCACAGTATCACAGGAAATATAGCACCTATGCAAAATGAAGTGTGATACTGAAGTGGCACTGGGAAGGAGACGACTCTAAGGCAAGATTTTTCTTTTTTTTTTTTTTTTTTGAGATGGAGTCTCGCTCTGTTGCCCAGGTTGGAGTGCAGTGGGGTGCAATCCCGGCTCACTGCAACTTCCACCTCCCGAGTTCAAGCGATTCTCCTGCCTCAGCCTCTTAAGTAGCTGGGATTACAGGTGCATGCTACTACGCCCAGCTAAGTTTTTTGGTATTTTTAGTAGAGACAGGGTTTCGCCATGTTGGTCAGGCTGGTCTCACACTGCTGACCTTGTGATCCGCCCACCTTGGCCTTCCAAAGTGCTGAGATTACAGGCATAAGCCACTGCTCCCAGCTGATTATTTATCTTGCAATCTTTAACATGGAGTTTTATTTTTCTTTTAAAAAAAAAAAAAAGGCAGGAGACAAAAGTCTGAATGCTAGTTACTTGAAAAGAAGGGATTTTCATACGGTGGAATTCTATTTAGCAAGCCCTTACAAGGCTGGCTACAGGCAAGGTTTTAGGAGTTGACCCAGATTTATGGTTTGCATCCAGCCCCCTGATGCTAACAGGATTGCAGGACCCCTGAAGCATCCATGAGCAGCTAAATGACCTACCACGTCTATCTGGGAATGTGCTCCCATACCGCACAAGCTGTTCTTCTTATAGATTGGTAGAGGAATCTTGCAGGGTTCATCAGGTAAGCAAGAAGCACATCCAAAGGATCAAGAGGCATTCTTCTTGCCTTGTCCTAATTCAATTTTTCTTTTAATAAATGAAATTTTACAAGGTTTTCTTCACTCAACTTCAGGTTTTTGTTTTTTTTGTTTCTTTTTTCTTTTTGAGATGGAATTTTGCTCTTTTGCCCAGGCTGGTGTGAAGTGGTGCAATTTCGGCTCACTGCAACTTCCACCCCCTCGGGTTCAAGTGATTCTCCTGCCTCAGCCTCCCAAATATCTGGGATTACAGGCATGTGCCACCACGTCTGGCTAATTTTCAGATTTATAGTAGAGATGGAGTTTCACCATGCTGGCCAGGCTGGTCCCAAACTTTTGACCTCAGGTGATCCACCCACCTCAGCCTCACAAAGTGCTAGGATTATAGGTGTAAGCCACCACGCCCAGCAATTTAAGGTAATTTATCCAGTATAGGGGCAAAGTTTTTCTTTAAAACTACAGTTTGTTTCATACATTATTAGCTGTAAAGTTTTAAAAAATACATTCAAATGGCTAGGCATGGTGACTGATGCCTGTAATCCCAGCACTTTAGGTGGCTGAGGCGGGCAGATCACCTGAAGTCAGGAGTTCGAGACTAGCCTTACCAACATGGAGACACCCTGACTGTACTAAAAAAAAATACAAAATTAGCTAGGCATGCTGTAGTCCCAGCTACTTGGGAGGCTGAGGCAGGAGAATCACTTGAACCCGGGAGGTGGAGGCTGTGTTGAGCTGAGAAAAAACCAAAACAGGATTCAGGCAGTAATCATTTACGAATAGACAAATTAGCCAAAGCAAACATTAAACACGTTATTTTAATTTGTACCAACTACTTTACTTTTCAAAGTAGGCTTCTCGTCTCTTCCGAAGCTCTTCTGAAGTAAGATTTGTACCTGATGTCTGTGGAATATCTTGAGATATATTTCTGGAACTACCTGAAAACAAAACACAACAGAACAAAAACCGATCATTGTATTTACCAATTCAAGTAACAATATGTTTGTTTATACTCATTTGAATAAGCTTTTAAAACATTTAAGAATATTCTATTCTGGCTGGGTGTGCTGGTTCACACGTGTAATTCCAGCACTTTGGGAGGCCAAGGCAGTAGATCACCTGAGGTCAGGAGTTCAAGAACAGCCTGGCCAACAGGTTGAAACCCTATCTCTACTAAAAATACAAAAAATTAGCTAGGCATAATGGCAGGCACCTGTAGTCCCAGCTACTCAGGAGGATCGCTTGAATCTGGGAGGCGGAGGTTGCAGTGAGCCAAGATTGTGCCATTGTACTCCAGACTGGGCAACAGTGAGACTCAGTCTCGAAAAGCTGGTTTCTGTCCCTGCCAATCCAGCAGGGTTCTATTAATCAAAAATGGGATTGCAAACCATATGGAGTACTCAGAGGCGTGCCTAGAGGCAAGAAACATTCAGAATAAAAATAATCTTCCTATTAATGGAATCTCAATTTTATTTAGATATCTAAGGAAATCAATTGATACATAATTTCATTAGAAAGTAGAAGCAAATACATATGAGTTAGAGAAAAATAAAACAAACAACCCACTTTAAACTTTTAATTAAGCTACTTTGAGCTATGCCTTAACATTTTTCTTTGCCTAGATTGTCTAGGGGAGATGTCTTCGCTTTTCTCTATTGATGGTTTATATCACCAAAAAACTGGGTCCACCAAAGTGGGTTTTAGCTTTAAATTACATAGCCAATAAATGTTGGATTTTTGTAAAATCGGTTTAAATTCCCTGTCCAGGCCCTTCCATAGTGTCTAATGGCATACATTCATGAAATAGCTAGTTTGGGTAACGGTCAACTGATACCCACAAAGATTAACCTCAGTTTACTACTGTGTTAGTAGAGGATTGAAACCAAATAAAATAACCAGAAGTAAAAATATAACCACTCCTAATATAATATAGGTTGTAAAAAGTGATTTCCATTACAAGAAATCTAAAGGAAACGCCCACTATATAGCTATTGCTTCTGCAGTAATTGTCAAAAAACTTCTAAGAGTACATTAACTTCCAGGAATCCTAAGAATAATTGAAATTGATTCTTCAGCAATGAATAAAGCACACATCAGAATGTCTTTACCTTGCATACTTAGCTGAATAGCCCTGCGGAGATCTGCTTCCTCATCTTCCATGTCAATTTCTTGGCGGCTTAGTGCCAGAGCCCTCTGCAAATCCTCCTCATCTTCATCTAACATTCCTGAGCCATCATTTGCTTCTAACACTCGTTCCAGGTCTGTTTTATGGACTCTAAAGAACAAAAGCACTGGTATTAACTGCAACCAGTCTTCTATTTTAGACAGAACACAAAGGCATTTGTAATGTAAAGCTTTTATGTAAGTCAAAATTTAAAATGTTTTCTGGAAAATAAACTCTATTAATATAATGATTGTGTTGTAATTTGAATCCAACTAAGTGTTTTTTTTCTGTTTCTTTCCCTTTTTTTTTTTTTTTTTTTTGAGACAGGGTCTGACTCTCTTGCCCAGGCTGAAGTGCAGTGGTGTGATTATGGCTCACTGTAGCCTTGATCTCCCCAGGCTGAAGTGATCATTTCACCTTAGCCTCCCAAGTAGCTGGGATTACAGGCATACATACACCACTACATCTGGCTAATTTTTGTGCTATTTGTAGAGATGAGGTTTTGCCACGTTGCCAGGCTGGACTCGAACTCCTGGTTTGAAGCAGTCAGCCTGCCTTGGCCTCCTAAAGTGCTAGGAATACACCATACCTGGCTAAGTTAATATATTTAAGTATTTATTTATTTATTTATTTATTTATTTTTTTGTGGGGACGGAGTTTCGCTCTTGTTACCCAGGCTGGAGTGCAATGGCGCGATCTCGGCTCACCGCAACCTCCGCCTCCTGGGTTCAGGCAATTCTCCTGCCTCAGCCTCCTGAGTAGCTGGG